GGGGGGGGGGCTTTAGCTTTATTCTGCGTGCATACTTCAGCTACAAGGTCAGCACCGGCCTCAGCCCAGGACAGTGTCACATTGTCCGCAGCTGTACCACATCTTGAGGTTTCTGTGTGCATCCTACACACTTTTTCACAGGGCAGAGACTTATCTCTTCCAGCTGTAAGGCAGAGGGAGTGGTGCTGCAGATTCCTAGCAACGCGTGCAGACTCAAACAACACAGATGGTTCACTCTCTTGAGTAGGACTTTCAGGGCGCCAGAACTCCATTGCGATTCACTGGTGGTTTCTGGATATAAATTCGTATGGCTCCTGCTGCAGTCTGATGAAAACTAGGCATTTTTCTGGCTACTTGTTTCTGGTTTTCCCGAATCACTGTTTGAGAACCAGTTGGACTCTGGTGCATAGGAAACTCGTGGCAGAAGGCTTATTCTCTGCGGTGGGCTGGGGGTATGCTGGAAAAGGGTGTCAGGGAAGATTAACTCGAGGCACAATGGGCCACAGTGAGAAGGCTTTGAAAGGGAAGAAAGTTTGAACTGCTTTAGGGACGCCGAGAGCACTGCTAGAGCAGGAATGTTCCAGATGCTTGTCTCAGATAGTGTTCCACTGTCTGCCACACCCTGAAAGAAGCTGATCATCCTTGCCTCTCCCATTTGGATCCCTGGCACCTGGAATTTGCCAGTCCTTGATATGAACTGTGAGGCTTGGACGGAGCCTCTGTGACCTCATTTGGACCATTTGTTCTGAATTCCGAATAGAACCAGGAAGATCGGAAAGGGGAAAAGAATTGGGGTCAGAAGAGAGATATTAGGAGGAAACTAGACCGATGAGTTGAGGCCATTGCAAAGGCAGTTTCTTCTGCCAGAATGTTCGATTGGCACATAGCTCACGCTCCACACTTTTGTATAAGGAAATGAATGAAAGGGAATTTGGAGTTGGAGGCCTAGCTCTTGGAAACTGCTTTAGGCTTATGTTAAGGGAAAAGTGATCTGTACTTGATTAGAAGTGCATTTCTGTGTCTCTATGTTGCTTATTTTATAAAGAGCCGAAGGGGCTCATTTATGACTGTGTGGGAAGGAGCTCTGCACTAGCAAGCACAGGGAATGTCTGATCATACTAGTGAATGGTGCTAACCCCAGTCTGGAGGGAAGGACAGGAATTAGTTTCTCATGGATTAGTTCCACAAGACAACTCATACCATGAATTGGTTGAGACCACCCAAAAAGATAAGCAATAATGACTGTGGAAAAGAGACAAAGGAAAAACCAGGACTCTTGGAAGGGAGGGAATGAAGGACCCAGGTAAATCAAGTTCTACTCACCAGAGAACAAGGTCCAGGGAAAAGTTAATTCACTTCAGGGAGAAGGAATCTGTAGCCTTTCAAGATAGTTTTAGACACTTCATTTATTGAATAACTTTTTTTTTTTGGTGTTTATCATAAATAAGAGACGCACAAATATATTCCAGAAGTGTGTTTTTTATCTAAGTGACTGTAATAGTCATTAAATAATCTTCTAAAGGCCCACAAAATGGAATGTAGAAAGATACAAAAACAACAGACAACACAGATCTATACAGAGGTTATACTTGAACTTTAACGTGGAACAAGAAACTTTATTAAAATGTACAATTAAAGACTCGCCTGCACTAGAAGGTCCATATGAATCACCTGAGGATCTTATTAAAATGTTAATTCTGATTTATAGATCTGGGTAGGGCCTGAGAGTCTGCATTTCTAACTAGCTCCAAAGAGATACTGGTGCTGTTGGTCCTCCAATCACACTTTGGGTTACAAGGACACACAAGGTTACAGGGTTCTGTTTGGTAGGTGTTGGTAGCCACCCATGGTTAGGTATAGGTAAGGGCTATCCTCTGATCCATCTTGGCTACCAGTTTGTAGTGAAAACAAGTCTCAGAACAAACTCTGTCACATGTGAACATTTATTAGCTACAGGGCACAAAACCATCTTAAAACCTGTGCCAAAATCACAGTGAAGTCACAGCTCTGCCTTTCTGCCTCATAATCCACACCTCTAACCACAGCCCTCTTAACACAGTGGTTCTCAAAGTGTGGTCCCCGGACAGCAGCAGCAGCATCACCTGGAAGTTAGAGATGCAGATTCTCAGGCCCTCTCCAGGCCTAAGAAATCAGAAAATCTGGGAGTAGGGCCTGGGAATCTGCATTTCCAGTAGTCTTCTCTGCGATTCTGATATACCACTCAAGTTGGAGAACCACTGCTATAACAGCAGGATTCTGCCAACCATTTAATTGAATTCAGGTGACCAAAAATCCAATGAACCATGGCTGGACATTTTGGAGTCAACCTAGGGCACCATTTCTAAAGGCGGGGAACCTGCTAGATTCTTCTCACACCTATTAATATAAGCGTGGGGGATGTTTCTAGACCTTTTTAGATAGTCCTCCTATTTTGCAAACCACTAATATCACCAATGCAAGTCCATCTAGCATTAATTAGAATAATTAATGAAACCCCTGGTGTAATAGAAGCTAAATATAGCTGAAGCACTTACAGTGGCTGCCTCTGGAGTGAGGCTTTTTGATTAATTGCTAGCCAACCACCCCTGGAGTGTGCATTCTTGATTAAGACAACTGACCGCCTCTGCAGTGTAGCTTAAACACACACACACATGCATCATATTGTATTGTCCATGTGAGGTTTCTTTTTTTAACTTTTAAAATCTACTTTTTTAAAGCATAATATAAACACAATCAAATGCACCCATTCTCTAAGTGTACAGTTTGAGTTTTGACAAATGGATACACTCATGTAACCTCCACACCAGTCAAGATATGTAACATTTCAAACACTTAAAAAATGCCCCTGTGTTCCTTGAGGTCAGTTACCCACCCACACCCCACCGCAGGCTACCATCTATCTGCTTCTATCACTATAGGTGAGATTTGCCTGTTCTAGAATTTCATATACATAGAATCAAACAGTATTTATTCTTTGTGTTTGGCTGCTTTTACCCAGCGTGTTTTTCAGATCATTTTATACTGTTGCATTATTAGTAGTTAGTTCCTTTTCATTGCTGAGTAGTATCCATTCTATGACTATACCACAATTTGTTGATTCATTCTTATATTGTCATGTTTCCAGTTTGGGGCTATTATGGGCATTCACGTACACATCTTTTGTGGACATGTTTTTATTTCTTTTGAGTAAAACATCTAGGAGTAGAATATTTGGGTTATAAGATACATGTATGTTTAATTTCATAAGAAGTTGCTGAGCTGGTTTTCCAAAGTCGTACTATTTTTCATTTGCACCAGCGGTGTATGAGAATTCCAGTTGCTCCACATCCTTGCCAACATTTAGTATTGTCTTTTTTTATTTTTATGCTGAATATTTTAAAGTAAATTACAGTCATTTTTTTTCTTCCCCCTAATTCCAATTCAGGTTTTTATATTTGGTTTCTGCAAAGGCCATAAAGCTAATGATGTTGACCCAATTGACTTGGATATGGGTTAAATTATTTCCCTTTCTTAACCCCCAATTAGAATCGGTTTTGTGGGTGCCACTTGATTATGGCAGTTAGTCATGCTTGCCAGTATGTTTTTTCTTTCTTTTATTCATTTATTCAGTGTGTTAATCAGTCCCCCAGCTGTATTAGACTTGCTCTTTCAGAGAGCAGTCAGATATTAAAATATGACAGAAGTAAGAGACAGGGTTCTTGTTTTGAAGGAGCTTTTTGGAGCTGGGTTCCTGAAACATAAATACACAGAAACTCTAGAAAAGAAACATCGCCCAGGGTGTATCAAGGCTTGCATAGACTTGAGTAAGGGTATCATCTAAATATAGCTTTCTGCTAGGTGAGTTGGAGCTTGATAGACAGGTGACTGTAGAAACTACGTAGCAGAAATTGGTGAATTGTTCATCTGTGCTGAATACTAGAATGATTGCACATCAGAATATAAACTAAATGTTTATTTTAGTCAAAATTATATTTTAAAATACATCTCTCTCACGCATGTGTGCGCGCACACACATATATGTTGGATAAGAAATACTCAGTGTTAACAGTGCATATCTTTGGGTAATGGGATTATGGATGATTTGTTTACTTGATTTTATATTTTCCTTTAATTTCTAAGTTTTCCACAGTGAGCATATTTAACTTTTATAATATAATAAATTAAAAAAAGTAATATTGCCACCTGATTTTTGCTAAGTTCTAATAGCTGTTTCAATAATATATTCCTTGTTCTCTTTAATCCTGTGTGGAAAAGATTCACTACGATCAAACCAAGATTACAGTCTGGGGGAAAAAATATCTGAACACCCTGCAGACTATGCCACTATAGTCCTTCATAGAACTTAGGCATCCTGAATATCAAAGAGAAAAAAGATGTTTTTATTCATTTCCCCATATTTACAGAATGTTACCTCCCCAAACTTGGGGCATATGCAAGAGATTTTTTTCCTAGCCTATTTTTGTCATTGTTGCAGTTGCCAGCAAATCATTGTGACTTTCTGTCTGTGCTTTCTGATGAAATAACAAATGATCTTTGTTTCCCTCCTTGTTTTCTCCAGCTGACCTGAATAACGTCAGGTTCTCAGCTTATAGGACTGCCATGAAACTCCGAAGACTGCAGAAGGCTCTTTGCTGTGAGTATTTACCAGTTCTGGAAATACTTGAGAGTTACTCTTTGCTTTAAAAAAACAAAGTGGATCGGGGATATTTTCTGTTTTCTCTCCTTTTCTTTTTTTTAATCCTCACCTGAGGATATGTTTTTTTGATTTTAGAGAAAGAGAAAGAGAGAAACATTGATGTGAGAAACATTGATCGGTTGCCTCCCATGTGCGCCCCCATCAGGGATTGAACCCATGACTCTTAAGTGCACAGGTCTATGCTTCAACCAACTGAGCCACACTGGCCAGGGCTGGTCAGGGGTATTTTCATTTGGAGAGAGAAAAAATAGCTGTCACAAGTCCATTTGTAACGTAGAATTCATTTTTTAAAAGTATCTTTGGCCTAATATTCACCTAGACTATTTTATATTGTTTAGAATCATTCCTCGGCTACCGATATTGAATTGCTAAAATATTGATAATTTTTATTTTCCAACTAATGGCATTGGCATCCAGAATTATCTTTATGAATCTCAAATGGTGTCCTCCTATTGCAGTGTATTTAGTATTGGCAGTAGTAGTATTAGATTGCCTTATATAAACCAAAGTTCACATATGTATGTTGTTCTTTAGGTTGAATGCTAATATTCAGATAGATGTTGTGGTAGAAGAAAGATGACAGGATTGTGTTTCTGCTTTTGCTAAATATTGTACATCAGTGGGAAAATCCTGAAGTGTCATAAATCTCTGTCTTTTCATCAGAAAGTTTATAGAACTATCTGCTATCAACAAAGTGAATTATAGTATAATATTGAGTACCCACATACGTTGATGGCATGGCCATGAAACAGACAGGCACAGTCTCTACCCCAATGTAACTTAGTCTAATGAGGGATTTGCAGGCTGTGCATAAGGTGGACGCGTAGGTGAATGTATATAAGATCATCAAGAAATCTACAATCTTAAAAAAAATGATTTTGCCTCTGTTACCAAGCTTTATGGGCAGCCTGAGGAAAAGTGAAGAGACAGTTTCAAAGTCATGTATTTATTCATGTGATGGTGGGAGAATGGGGAACTATGAGAACAGCTAGTGGGGGGGGGTGTGTTCAGAGAAGGTTTGCTTAAAGAGGTGATGTCTTAAGCTACATGAGTCCAGAAAGGTAAGTAGAGCTCACTCTCAGACGAATGTTCTAGTCAGAAGGAAGAGTGTGCTGAGGCTTGGAGTCCAGAGATGTATCCAGGAACTGAAAATAGTTGAGCATGGCTAAAGCACAGAGTTCCAAGAGGGGCTCTGGTGACGTATCCATCTGGAGAGAAAAGCAGGAGGCAGATTGCGAAGGGCTTTTTCAACAAGTTAAAGATTTTAGAGGTCTTTGAGGAGCCACGCAAGGGAGATTTTCCTTTAGAAAGATCCTTCTGGCTGTGAAATAGAGCATGAATGGGCCGGCTGAGCGTGCATCTGAGAGGAGAGCGGCCAGTTGAGAAGTGTGAGTGATCTGAACCAGCAGCATGGTGGCCCGAACTGGCAAAGTAGGAACGGAGATAAGTGGGGAGAACTGAGAAAGACTTACGAGGTGGAACGGATAGGCCTCAGTGATGAGTAGGATGACGGCATGTGTTGGGTGAGGGGCAGTCAAGGAAATACTAGGTGCTCAGCTGGGGTGAATGGTAGACTTGCCCAGTGGAGCTGGACATAAAGCTTTGGCCCTCAGGAGAAATACACAAGCAATATTTAGGAATCATTGGCTTGTAGATGCTCGGAGAGCATGTCGAGTAAGAAGGAAAGAGTATTAGGACAGGATGAACAGTGTGTGGAGGGGACTGCAGAGGAATGACCAGAAGGGGGGAGAGAAGGCCCATACGAAGAGGTTAAGCACGTATAGTGCAGGGGAAGAAAGAAGGGGCCTGCCATTGAGGCCAGATGTTGCTGGGAGCTCAGGATGAAGGCAGCGAAAGTGTCCATTGGATTTAGTAGCTTGGTTGAGATTTTAGAGGCACGGTGGAGGTGGTGAAGCGGGCTTAAAAGTAAATACAAAAGAAGGGATGTAAAGAGGGTTGGTATGGACAGTTCTTGGAGAAATAGTTGTGAAGGGGAAGGAAGAGGGCTGGTACTTGATTGGATGGGGCTGAGGAGTGAATGAAGTATACGTATGTGAGACCCTTGAGTATTTAAATGAGCATTAGAAGAGAGAACAAGATTGCTATTATTGACTCTAGAGAAGTTAATGTGAGTTCTCGGAGGACAGGGGCAGGTAATCCAGAGTCCAAGGGAAGGACAGGGCACCTCTCCTCCACCGTAATGAGTAATGAGCGAGGCTGGGGACAGGATCTGGGCAGGGCCAGGGAGCTAAGGAGGCCTGGTGGCAGGAAGGTGAGGGATGCCCAAGTGGAGGATTCTGTTTTCCGTGTGAAGGTGAAGGAGAGTTCCTGGGCTGCGGCGAACAGTGGGAGGTGATCAAGTCGGGGTTGGGTTTATCTTTGTGGAGCATAAGAGAGGGATGCTTTGAGAAGCAGCATTGTGGAGCCCAGAGCCGGCTGAGCGTCTCGCAGCAGCCCCAGTCTGCAGGGCTGCGGCCTTGCTCCAGGCACACTCAGCCGCCAGGAGCCCAGAGGTTCTGCCCCAGGGTGGGCAGCGGACAGCTGGGCAAGAGGATGGGTAGGTTTAAAGTGATGTCTGTCAAGCCTCTTCGGGTAGGAGAAGCTATGAATTCTGGTGGAACCTGGTAATTAGGAGGTAGAGGGATCAACAAGCTTAACTGCCCAGGGAGTCAGAGGAAGAGTCAGTGCAGAAGTCACTGGAAGGCCAGGAAGCCGTGGTCAGGGAGTATTTCAGGAGTGGAACAGCTCTAGTGGATTAGGTCCAGGAGGTGACCATTTGAGTGGATGGCAGAGGTTGGAGCAGCTGTGAATGTCCATGGGGATGAAATGGGATGTTAAGGAACCGAGTGGCTGGAGTGATGCAGGGGTCATCCACGCCAGTGTTGAAACCATCCAGAATTGAGGCCAGTCCCGGGGGAAGAGAGAAGGCCCGTGAACCCTGACTGTCAAGCCTGCAGGAATGAAGGGACCTGACCAGGGCGTCTGCGGAGGCCAGCAATGAGATGGTCAGGGAGGGTCATTGGCAAGTGGTTTTAAGTGGGACTGGAGAAGAAACATCCTCAAAGTAGAATTATTTGGGAGGAGAGAGGAGGCTTTTCCTCTTCATTCTGGTCTCTCCAATGCTTAGCACAAAGTCTAGCACAGAGTAGGGTTGAATATGTTTCCGTGGAATGGATGTACAACGGAAAGTAAATTTAGGTTTTTATTTCTTTAGCTTAGAGTCTGAAGTTATCATTTTTCAACTCTATAGCTGCCAAGTTTAAGTGGTTGTAAAGGGCTCTCCAGGCCTAGGATTTCCGTAGGGACCTGTTAATGTACCAGAGCTGGAAAGAGGCAGCGTGGGGTGGGCCGGAGTCAGAGGGCTGGGTGGTGAGCCTTCTGCCTCTTTTTCTTTTTCTGTCCTTGCCCCACCCCAGAGATACTGCTTTCCACTGATACAGGGGTCATTATGAACCGGTCGTTGTAAAGTGCTGTTGTATATAGTGCATTCCCAAGAGATCCTTAAAAGTTCAAAAGAGATCGTCAGCTGTTCCAGGTTATACTATGAAAAAGCCCAGAAATAGACTTGATTAGGAAACCTCACAAAGTCTGTCCCTTTCCATAAAGTTTCTTTTGACCTTGAATTTAGGCATTAGCCAATTCTCCTGTTAAAAAATAAGACTGTTTACATGTGTGTCTCATTGTCTTTCATTTCAGTTTATTTTAAAATTTTCAGTAAACATCGGAGAAACTGGGCATTTGATAGTATAAAAAAATTTTGGCCATTTGAGGTTATAACCTTGTAATAAAGGTTAAGCTGTGAACGTAGAATTCTCACATTTAAACATATTTGAAATTCTCAACATTTCCTTTCTGAGAATGACTTTTCTCATACTTGAAGACGAGTATGGTAGAGCAAAATTAGGGTGTATTTACTTAATTAAGTACTGGATTCTCAAGAATGGTAGGAAGGGTTGCATGTATAGTAGGAATGTGCAATGCAGCATATGTGGTCGCATTACTTAACTAACCGTTCAGGAGATGATTTAAGAATTTCCTTTTAATTTTATATTTGCTTAGGTTTCTCTTCTGGCTTTTTTTGTCATTTCTATGCCTGCAAAACCATGATAAAGGGCCATTGTCTGTGGTACAGGCAAATAAAACTTGTTCTGGCTAGTTTTCCCAGCCGAAGGTTGCTTCTGCTAACTCTTACTTTAATGAAAATTAATGATGTTATCTCAGTGATTTCCTGATGCCAGGGAGGAGTTTGAATTACAGATGCCTTAGAAAATATGCAGTGCTCCCGCCATTAAGCAACTTGGTCTTCTTTTTTCAGTTCACATCAAAGCTTCAGTATGGCAGACACCCGAATAACACAGTTTTATCCACTCTAGAGAGTGTGCCATTTAAGTCGAGAACATCACCATTGGCCTATAATGTCCCCACTATGAAATCGATTTAATGTTGCATGACTTTATATTGCCTTTCAAAGCATTGTGAATGAAAATTAAACTCGACAGCAGAGCAGAGACAAAGAGAAAATCTTGGAAAGAGGGTTTATAAAGTGGTTCATATGGCTGACACCCCATTGAAAGTTACGACGAAGATAATCTAAGCTTTTTCTTTCCCTCGCTGTAGCTCTGATGGCATACTACAGGTGTGTGGCTTCTAAAATTAAAAAGATAGCCAACTTCTAAGATCAGAAATAAAAATGCACTTAAAGCATGTGTATTTAGCTTATTAGTGTGTGGTGGGTTGGAGAGAGCCCAAACCATAGGACCAAATATACTGCAGTTGATAAATTTGGCAAATGCTCTGCAAACAAGAAACAGAGAACAGTTTGCTTCTGTTCAACAACTAGCTCACACAGTAGAGAGATTTTGGATAGCCTGGAGCTGTCTGAATAAGGGTGCACCCTCACCAGACCAGGTGAGAAATATGCTCCCTTCTTTTTAAAT